TGTTTTCTCTGTTGCTTGGTTGATTGTATATATATATTGTCATATATATATGATGACTTTTGAGAGCTAGTGAAATGGTACCATTTTGTTATTGATAGTCTGTTAAACTGTCCATTACCAGAAATCAACAACTTCTGATTTGCTTTTACTCACAGCCCCAGTCAGACTTGCTAGAACTGATTCAGGTTATGATTGTGGTGTTTGGTGAGGAACCTCCGGTCTTCTCTCGACCTACCGTTTCAGCAGCCTACCCACCCTACCAGGCAACAGGCCCACCAACTAGTAAGTGGGCGTGACTACCAATTTCTGAAAATACTCATATAAATATTCCAGAGTTTATCTTGCTCTGCATAGTTTGTTGACAAATAATACGTTCTACTCTGTTGTGGCTTTGCGTATTGATGGCTGATGAATTCACTTGTGCTGTACTTGAGCTATGCTGTAAAAAGAGTGTGTGTTTTTTGGCTTTTAGAAGGGGAAAAAACGTATCGGGTTTGTGTGTGCTTGCGTATATAAGTATATGTATCAGTAGCCTGTCAACATTCAGAGATATCCTTAAAAAGAGCTTTTTAAGGTAACTGCATCAAATTTTTTTTCATTCTAATAATACAAGTCCACCTACTAGCAGCTTTCTAAAACCATTGACATCATGCACAAAAGAATACTGCTTTTATTTCCCACGCACACTCACCTGTTTGGATTTTTAATACTTGATGGCTGAAAATTAAAAAAGAACGCATCATGATTTTTCCGTTTTCTCTGTTGATATGGTACTCTGATTGGGTACTCGTTTTCTTGCAGACGGTCTCAAGGCTTTTTTAAAGACTTTTATTTAAACTTTTGGGAGCATCTTATTTTAAAGAATAGCAATAGGTAGGTGGAAAAAAAGCAAAGCAGGAAAGAGAGAAAATCCAAGAGAGAACTGTACGTGTGATGAGGAAAACAACAGTAGATGAGCTAAAGTCAAGCCAAAGACTGGGAAGGGGAGCGGGGGGAAGCAGATTAGCTGTGGCCCACTTAATGGAAGTGCAGCAGCGTTTGGGGTTAGGTTTTTTTGAGGGGAGAGGGGCTATATTTTTAAGGCTATATTTTGTATTGAAATATGACTTTTATCAGATCATAATAGTACAACTGAAGTAGTAGTCATTATAATTTGCAGAGAAAACTGTTTTCTTCAAGGTGTTCCTAGCACATGAGGAAAGTGTTAGCAAACCCGAGTAGAAACATTAGAGATGATAAGTGGTTTGTTTTTTTTTTTTTTTTAGCTTGTCCAGCACTAGCCTACCTTTTACAAGAGCACTGGATGAGTCAACAAACATGAACTGCTCTGATTTTCGGGAACAGTGGGTGTCAGTACAAGTATAGTTTTACTAGAGCCTGTGAGCTGTATTGTGCTTTAAGGAAGGATCATCCTCTGAAACACCACGTTATTTTCTACTTCTGTAGTCACAAATCATACTCAAGGCTACTATAACTGAAGTAGTTTTAGCAAAAATGTTTCAGATTTTTCACAGTTTTTTAACAGCTACTTAGATATACTGGTGTAATATTTTTTCCTTATTTTCCAGATATTTAGTCTTATTTTTAAGTTCTAGATATAACACTTAAGAAATGAAGCGCACAGTTTTTAAAAAAAAATTGAATCATTTGAAAGCATTCAGGGATGAAAATAACTTGGCTCTTTCAAAGCTATTTCTGACGTTCCTGAGATTAGTATTAATAGGTAGTAAGTGTATTCAATTATTATTAAGTATTATTTTTATAGTAAAATTATAAGAGTTCTCAAAAGAAAATTAATAAGGCTGTGTTAAAGCCTTAGGCATTTATATGTGCTGATAAAGGTTTTTTAAAAGTATAATTTTTAAACGGCAGAAATGGCTGGAAAAAAAATGAATGGATTGTTAAACAACTAATCAGCTGTTGAGAAGTTACTCTGAAGGTACTTAAATTACATGCTCCTTCAGTGAGTAGAGAATAGTGGTTACATTGGAAAGATTATTTTCTTTTTTTCAGCTGTTGTGTAAAAAGGGAAAAGGAAAGCTCTTCAGATGTGTCATCTTTAACAACACGCCAGATTTTTCAGTTCCCTTGCTGCAGATATTTTTTCTTATGTACCCAGAGACTTCAAGACTAATGTTACTTTAGAATACAGCTAGTCATTGTGTAGTTTTAAATTGAAATTTATTTTACATCCAAGCAGAGGCTAATACTTATTTAAAATAACGATTAAGAAAAAATAAATATGTAGTCAAAGGTACTTTAGCCTGCTGTACTAAGGAATGTATAACTGAACAGTCAGTTCTCACTTTCTCCCTCCAAACAAAACACTCCTAAAACGCTGACCAATTTCAACCAAAGTGGAAAAGGAGCGGTAAAGTCTTCAGAAATGCAAAGTCTACTGAAGTTTTGTGAAAACGTGCTTGGATATAGCAAAGAGATTCTAATGGACCTAACGCATGGAGGAAACGTCAGCTGCCGTTTAGTCCTTTGTCTGTTTTGAGACGAAGCAGCTATCTTGGCCAGTTGGCACAGAGAGCTCTGAACAAACCTTTTCGTATATCCCCTCTTGCCAAGCTGTGCGAGCGGAGCATGGGAGACATCTGGGAGTGGTGTGAGAAGTGATGGTGTTAGGGGGGGATGCAGGGGGTACGCGTTGTTGGCTTCATTGGTCGTAGAATGACTTTTCTTACTGTTGATGTTTGATCCTGCTACACTGTATTCATTGTTCAGTAATATTTTGAAAAACATCCAGCCATATATAAATACATCCCACTTGTGTGGTCTTCACATATAGTAAACTCTTGAAAAATAGAAATATACAAAATTGTTGTCTTATTTAGCTTCCTACATGCCGGGCATGCCAGGTGGAATCTCTTCCTATCCACCAGGACACGCTCCTAACCCAAGGTAAGAACTGCTTTAAAGCATCATCGTTTATATAGGCGAAAGTGTCGCTTTCCGAATAGAATTCAGTGGTGTGTGTTATTTTCTTATGGTGGGATTTGGATTTCACTTTTATAGTATACTAATTACGTTATTAGTTTATTTAAAAGTAGATTGAATTCTTGTCAATAGCTAAAAGAAAGTCAGAGCAAGGTTTGGCCTGTTTAGGGCCGCTTGCTTCAAAAATAAGCTACACGGGCAATAAATATGTTTAGAAAGTACTTACTTAACTCCTAGATGTTCTCTTGCTTCACTTGTGTACAAGATTAGTTTTTATAAGGTTATGTGCTGTAAGGAGAGACGTACCCCTACGGTTTTTTTAAACAGTATTTTCGGTTTTGGGGTAATTAGCAACTCAAAGTATTGAACAAAACAACTGCTGGATTAATGGGAACTGTGACTTGTTTTCTTCCTCCCTAGGGTAGGTGTTGTTTCATGGACATTAAAAACTGAGAACGAATCACCGCAAAATAGGTTCTAGTAATAGTTATAAAAGTTTCTATAATGTTCTTTGAATATAAGAAGAAGATTGGTTTGCACATCAGTTTGGCCTTTGCGCTGACTATTCACGTTGCAATTTTTAGCAGTCTGTTGAATGCTGTGTTACAATCTCCATTCTAAAAGCTTGGCTAACTGGATTTGCTCTGGGTATCTTTTTTTCATGTGAAGTTATCACTTGGTATTGTGTATAAGTAAATTTGATGCAGAAGATACTTGTTGAATTGTTAGTGAAAATACCAGTGATTATTTTTTAGAAAACTTAGAAGAAATATTTAACTTGAAGAGTTTCATGTCAAGAAATATGACTGTTTTAAAGTATTTTTAGATGTTCTTGGAGATTCTTAGAGGTGGGATGTTAACTTCAACCCAAAAGACATAGCTTCAAATTGTAAAGAACAATGGAAAGAATGGAAAGAACAAGAGATGTTTTCAGAAATGTAGTAATGTTTACCCTTTTTGGTTTTGTAATATCTAATTCAAATAGTTTAAACTACCTAATAATTTAGAAAAATAGGTACACTTAAAATAACTAACCAAAACAGGTCTTGTGTTTTCACGTATAGAGTTGCACTGCCTGTATTCCATCTGTCCTGATGGCAGGGTTTTTTTTAATGTTTGTTTTTCATTATGTTCAAAGCGTTCTGCCTAGATTCAGATGCTAGGAAAATGTGTAAATCATAAGCACTTTGGACTTAATTCAGAGCACATTGAGAAGCTGAAGGGCACAAAATGTTTGTTTGTTTGTTTGTTTTTAATATAAAACAAAACTTTTTCTTTAAGCAAGCTATGTAATTGTTGGGAATAAACCTTTTCAAAAAGGCTTGCAATGCTGTCTTAGTGAATTGTAGGAAGCTGATAGGTGCCCTCTGGTGTGTATCTTTCTATTTTTTCATATAATCATTATTTTTGTTAGTATCATCCTTATGACTTGGCTCTGTGATAGGAGCATATGAGGAGTTGCTGTAGTATGCAACACTATTGTAAGGATTTGTAAGCATTTAGTGGGTTTTTTTGTTTTTAAGGGGTGAAAGATAGAGATGTGGATAACTTTTTATGGCAAACCTTAATGTTTTTTCCTCTAAATGCATTTATTTAAAGTGCTTTTTAAATGTCTGTACAAAAATGAATAATAGAACTATTTTAATAAAATACCATAGCCTGTGAATGTTGAACAGCAGAGTTGCAAGAACTTACTATTAAATTTGGAGTTATCTGGAAGTGCACAGAATATGCTTATTTTGTATCTACTGTGCAATAAATTCAGTGCATTTTCTCCTGGAGTGTTTTGTTTACCCCTGCTGTAAACAGGGGTTGGCCAGTCTGATACTGACTGGTTTGAGCCCTCGTTTTGGTTGGCAGTAAACGTATTTTATACTTAATATAGTAGTTTCTGCTGTGAAGGTCCAGGAAAGTTCTGTAGACCGTGATGTTATGTCCCCTCTGACAATTGTCTCAGTGAACAAATAAGTAATTAGCTTCCCTTCATCTCTCAGAGGAGGGCTGAGAGCTTTTGGAGAAGTTTCACCTTGCCACAGTATTTTGCACAATGCTTTTATGTTTATATAAAGCAGTTTAGCAGTCTTACTGTTAATTATTCTATTAAAATTATTAGAATTGAAATTGCTATTTGTCAGTTAATAGCTTGAATAGTGTGTTTTGGATGTTTTTGGTCTTTAGAGAGGCAAGTTTGATTAAGTGATTCTTTTTAACTTTGGATCATTTGAAATGATCCAAACGTTTGTCCAGAAAATAACTGGACAGGGGCTCAGATAAAATGATATCATCTTAAAACCTGAATAAATGTTTAACAGAGTGACGTAAAACTAACATACATAGATGATATTTTACAAATATTTACCTAACTTGAGCATATCTTTTTTTTTTTTTTTTTGGTCAAAACAGCTATCCAGGCTATCCTTATGCAGCTGGTGTTCAATTTCCAGCCACAACTAGTGTTCAGCACTACCCTTCTCAGCCTCCTGTGACTACTGTTGGTGAGTAAATTTGAAAGTAGTTCTTTGAAATTTCCTACCAAAAATTGTATGTAAGGAGAAAAAGGAGGAAAAGGACTCTTTTGTTTGTAATCTGACCTTCCAGAATAGTGATGTTTAATGAAAAAATTTTTGTAACTCAAAGGAAGAATAAAATACTGTTTTAAACATTTTTACTCTTCTATGAAAGAAAATCCTTTGCGTTATATTTCATTCAGTCAGGAATGTGGTAAATTCCTGTTTTTCTGTAGCACATTGCGTGTTCTCTATGAATATTTTGAAGAATGATGCATATAACCACATTTTTTTCTTTGCACACTCTTTAACTGCAAGTGAATTTTGTCTGTATCTCTCTGTGATCATGATTTTGGCTTAAACTAAATAAGGGGGAAAAGTTTTGGTTTTTATCTGCTGGATCCACTTTACTCCAAAAGACCTAGCCATCTAGAACAGGTGTCCAAAGCTTTTGGAGTGAGCTTCATTGTTACCAAGTTTATTTTCCTGCTGCT